TTTAGTAGCCTACCCTCCTAAATATAGGGGTCTTATAAGGCTCCCCGGTCTCCCCTATCCTCTTCCTAATTTATATTAGGAAGGTTACAGCGGGGCCGGATTTTCAGGGCCTTTAGCTATCCTATACCGACGATTTCCAGCTATCTTATAGTATCTACGTCGACTAGGAAAAACTATAAAACCCTAGAAAAAGCCGCAACCTCCCTTTTCGACGTAGCAAAAGTTAACTAAGTCCTTTTTAACCCTGCAAAACAGAGCTTATTCACTTCTATCGAAGACACTCTAAAGAAGATACTCCAGTTACTATAGAGGGGCACCTAGTTAAACCCGCGCTAGGTGCTATTAGGTGGCTAGGGGTTTGGTTTAATCCCAAGCTATCCTTTAAACTATACGTCGAAAAACGCCTAAACTTAGCTTTGGGGGCCCTAAACAGGTTATATAGGCTAGCTAGCTTATAGAGGGGCCCTTCTTTTAAGGCTCTACAGCAGCTATATATAGCCTGTATAGCTTCCCTAGCTGATTTTGGCTCGTAGCTCTAGTGGGACTCTAAATCACCGAAAAAACACCTCGTGGACCGCCTAGAACGCCTATAATACGGCGCTCTAGTTAGGGCCCTAGGTGCTTTTAGGGGGGCCCCTTTACGGCCTCTAGAACTTAAAGCAGCAGTACCCCTAGCGGCGGTTCGGTTAACTAGGTCTACTAGGCTTTATGCCTTTAGGACCTTAAAATTCCTACCGAACCACCCTATTAAGCGCTAGCTCCAAGGAGACGGAAACCACCTTACCCTTCTTCAGAACCCATAGCCTACCACACAGTTATATAGGCTAGGCCTAGAAACAGTGGCTTTAATAGGTTAGTCTTAGGATACCGAGGGTCCTTCGGCTAGGTGGGAGGCCCCCTAGGCCTCGGAATCTATAGCGGACTTAAGACCCTTTTTCCCACTTACAGACCGGTCTAAAGCAGGCACGGACCCTGGCCCTGATACACTCGATTAGAAAACGGCCTACCTCGAAGCCCTTACTGAAATATAATAAGGCCTAGGGGAATAGGCTGCTGTTTTCTATACCGACGGCTCCCTAGGCTATTATACTAGGCCCCCTATAGGGCCTTCGTAGGCTATAGCCGCTATTATATAGTGGGCTAATACCGGAAGGCCCTGTAAAGCTATAGGCTTTAACCTAGGGGCCGCTGCCGAAGTCGCGGACGCTGAATTATACGCTATTCTCCAGGCCCTTTACGCTGCCCTAGAGCAGACGCCTAGACCCCTAGAGTGCTATATTTTCAGTGATTTCCAGGCGGCTATTCAGAAGCTTTAGCGTACCTTATAGTGGGCTATAGAAGCTAAAAACCTTATATCACACCTTAAATAACTAGGCACTTCGGTCTCTGTTTAGTAGTGCCCCTCGTATATAGGGATAGAAGGGAACGAACTAGCGGATAAGGTAGCTAAAGGGGCGTTAAACCCCGAAAAAGCTACTAAATCCGTTACCTTAGTTACCCTTAGCTACCTAAAACGCCGGGTAAATAAAGCCCTTATTTAAGACTAGAAAACCCTATAGAATCACGAGGAGGAGGAGGAGAAAAGAGGTAAATCGGTTCGATTAGGCCGTCTATATCGGCGACTAGTCCGCGATAACCTCCGCTTCTCCCGAAAACTACTACCAATATAAGGCCCTAGGTGGGTAAAATCGGCTTTTACGCAGTTAAAAACCGGCTTCTGATACCTAAAAACCCACTAAAAAAGGGCCTAAAACTGCGCTAACGACCGCTGTTTCTGTCCCGGCTCCCCTATACAGAATATAACACACCTTATTCTTTCCTGCCCTTTTTATAAAGAAGAACGAAAAGCCCTGCGGGAAGCCCTAGCAGGCCTACCGCTATCTCTGCCGCTATTATTTAGTACTAAAAGAGGAATTCAGGCCTTATAGGCCTACCTTTTAGCTACTAAAATAGCCTCGGCAGAGTAGTATAGGGCGCAAACTACAACTCCTACGGACTAGTTATTTTGCTTTAGTTTTTTACCTATTAGGTTTTATTAGATAAATTATTACGGAGGATTTCCTTTATTTAGTACGCCCTATTTTTACTGTACCTAGCTTCTGATAGCCTCTAGCCCTTAGGGCGATAGGCGCCGCGCCATAGCTTTAGGGCTGTAAGCGCGTAATGAATCAAAAAAAAAAGAAAAAGGGCGATATCTATATTTATAGGTATTAAGGTCCTAAGGAGTGACTTAGGGGAAACCTTAGGCAGATCCTTATAAAGAGCTACGATCTTATAAGGAGGTTAATAAAGGAAGGCTAGTCTTAGCTAAGTTATCACGCTACGTGGTGGCGGCGGCCTATCTAGGGCGTGCCTCTGCCGAGGACTCTTTTATAGAATAAGGGATATACTAGAGTCTTCTTTCTACTACACGAGTAGGTAAGCTCTGCTTCGTGGTTAAAGCGGGTATAGTAGGCTACGAAGTCTCTTTTGAAGATATCTGACGATAACGGATAAACGGAAGGGACGAAAGTCACGAAAAGCAGTGGAGAAATAAGAAGGTAATAATGGGATTGTAAGGTAGGATCTCTGCGCGCGTATTGTATCTTCTTCGGATCGAAAAAGGGATTGAGATAAAGGATTAAGGATGAAGAATAAAGAACAAAGAAAGGAAGAACCGAACCAAGGGAACGGGTTAATATCCTTTGTTCTTTGTAAAGGATCGATATCGTAATAGCATTGTAATATATATCGATATCGTAGTAATATCGTAATCCATTGTATCCTTTGTCTGACTCGTAATAGATGAACTGACTCGAAAGAGAACGGTCTAGGCTTGCGGGGAAGATATCCTTTGTTCGAGTACGAAGGATATACTCGAAAGATATTAAGGATATTATTAGTAATAATATTAATATCAAAATTCTCTATATCCTATACGGGCGGCGAGGAGCCAGTATAGTTTCTCTCTATCTAGCATGAGTATTTCCCCTATAGGTCTAGGGGAGGCCGTGAGTTCTAGCTCTTAGTAGCTAGCTAGCTAGTTATCTATCCACCACTATTAAAAGGCAGTATAGTGTAAGGCCCTATCCTTCCTGCGGGTATAGCTATAGGTAAGGGGGGGTTTATATAGGGGGCGAATATAGGCGCCGCGTTTTATAAGGTAGTCTACTACCTTGTTTCCAGGGATACCTATATGCCCAGGGACCTAGCGGACGTCTACTAGGATCCCTGCGTTTACGTAGAGGCTCCTAAAATCCAGGAACTTCTAGTATAAGGAGAGGGGGGTAAAAGGACCGTTAATACCTTATATAACGGCGGTGTTATTAAGGTATACTATTATATTATAGGTTATTAAGTCAGTAAGCCCGAGGGCGGCCCGGAGGCCGTACTCTACTCCTAAGGCTTTAGCATCGAAGACTTTTACGAGCGGGAGAGATTAGGCGCCCACGCCTACGAGGTTATTACTCTTAAAGATAGCGAAGCCGTAGCCGGTGCCGGCCCCAGTAGGGGTGTCGATTTATAAGCCGTTAGTGTATACTATAATATCTACGGCAGTGCGGGAGCGGGTCCAGGACTTAAAGTCGGATATAGCCGACTTCTTATCTATAAAGTTCTTAGGGACTATAGGAGTTATACTAAAGTCCGGTAAGGAGAGTTTTACTCTCGGGAAGTCCGGGGCTAATACGGCGGCTTCGATTAGGACCGATGGGCATAATAGGCCTTTATCGAGATCGTTATAGGCATAGAAGGCGCGGACCCTTATAATAAGAGGGTGGTGCTTATCGAGGGTCCGGAGCCGTAGGGCGTATCTACGGCGGTAGGCGTTAAGGAGTAGTTAGACCGGGGGGGTGCTAGATTCTCTAAGAATAGTAGTGATCGGTATAGTTTTCTATACCAGAAGGCAGCCCCTAATAGCGAAGTTAATTACGACTTATAGCTTAGCGATCTAGTCTTAGAGACCTATCCCGACCCGAGTATAGGTCCCTCGGGACCGCTTAGTCGAGGGGCGGGTATCGCTAGGGAACTAGGCTTCCGAGGCGAAGAGGGCTTTAGAAAGTATAATAGTATAAATTATGTTATATATAGCCGCGGAAGGGGGGGGGGGGGGCTCCGCGGTATACCCTATTAAGTCCACGGATATACCTAGCGGCTAAATAGGCTTTAGCGGTTCTTATCTTAATATAGGACTTAAAAGTAAGGGTCTTATTAAGCCAGACTCCTAGCCAGCGTATAGAACGGCTAGGGGTAACTTAGCGGCTAGTATAGCTAATCGCAGGGAGGGATTCTTCCCTTTTTTTCGAGAAGTATATAACCTCGGTCTTTCCGGGGTCGAATATAACTAAGTTTAGTAGCCCCTACTTGATAGTCTAGTCTAATAGGTCTTAGGCGGCTTAGGCGGTAAAGTCGAGGTCGGGGCTAACGTAGAGGATACCGTAGTCGTCTGCGTATCTAAAGCGTATATAGATCGGGCCGATACGGTAGATTAGTTCGGTATAGAGAAGAAAAAGGATTAGCGAGGCAGGTAAGCCTTAGGGCAGGCCGTACTATAGGGGGGCTATATCCGTTATATAGCCTTCGTGTTATACACGGGCTTACCTATTATCTATAAAGCTATAGACCTAGGAGATTAGGCTAGGGGGCTAGTCTTATTCTCTAAGGCGGAGGTAAAGGCGGTTTTTAAGGACTGCGTTAAAGGCGCCCTGGATATTAATAATTATAAGGGTAGCCACTTATCGTCTATTAAAGGCGGTCTCTATATTATATATTAGAGCTACGACGATATCGGTTAACGATGTATATAGGAGGGCCCCGGCGGTTTACGGGTAAAGGACTTTATATTAGACGCTAGCCCACGTAAGGCGCCTAGCAATAAGGCGCTTAAGTTTTTTCCCGAGGCATAAGAGGAGTAAGATTAGTCTCTAGCCTTTATAAGTGCTTATATCTCTATTAGGTTTCGGGATCATAATAACCTCTACTTACCGGAAGGGTCTAGGGTAGTATCCCAGGTCTAGGTAAGCTTAGTAAAGCCGGGTAATATAGGAGTATATTGCTAGCGAGGCTACCTTAAGCATAATAACGGTAATTTCGTCTACTCCCGGGGAGGTATTACCGATAAAGAGTATAGCGCGATATATTTCGGCTAGGTGTATCTTCGGGGTCCACGGGATAGTTACCCGTAGGCAGGTAGGTATAAAAGAGTCTATATCGTTATATAAGGAGTTCCTCTTAAGTATGTACCTACGAAGGGACTACGCCTTCTTACTAGGTACGGTAAGTATAATATCACCGTCCTATAAAGAGGGGAATTAAAGCTAAGGTCTAGGCGTATACTAGCCTATAATCCTATAAAGATCCTTATTAGCCTGGATTCCTTCGATTTATTATTACTAGAAAGATACCTTAGCCCTTTTAACGGCCTTCCTAAGTTCCTTATAGGCTTCTTAGGTTAGTTCGGAGGCGGGGTTGAGTCTTCTTTCGCGGTAGTACTACCTCCGGGCTTCCCGGCAGTTATCGTCCTACTAGGTAGCGGCTTTTAAGGAGGTGTTATATTTACGGCCGGTTAACTTTAGGGAGTTCTGGAGTAGTGTGGTGATTTTAAGGGCGAGTCTATTAAGGTCTTCGGGCATGTTAAGTGCTTTAGGCAGTAGCTAGGCGTTATTTTAGACCGCTTTTACGAACCGGGGGATATCCTAAGGGAGTAGGCGGTAGCGTTATTATAGCTTCGGGGGGCGAAACGTGCTAGAGATTACCGTGGTGATCGTGTAGTGGTCGGATCTAGTATATAGATAATCCGTCACCTATAAGAAGGCGAGAGGTATATCGAAGAAAGCGAGGTTAAGGGTATTCCCGGCGTCGTGTATAGGTATACCGGGTATATTTAGAAGAGCGAGCGAGCGCTATTCTACCTAACTAGTAAGCTATACTACCCCTTTATTAGGGGTGGCGCTAGATTACTATATAGGGTAATAGGCGTTAAAATCCCCCGCGATAAGTATATTCGGGGGGGGGGGTGACTAGTCCTATAGGGTATTAAGAACGTGGAGTTTATCACTATCTCTATAAACGTTAATAAAGCTAATCCCGTGGTATTTAATACCGTAAAGGTTATAGTAGGTAGTAGTAATATTAAAGGGTTCCGGTATAGCGGGGCCCTTCCTAATATAGGTTATAACTCGTGGGCCTGTTAAGGTTAAGTCCTAAGAGTGGATAGGTAAGAGGTAGAGATATCTAGGATACGTTTTTATAATATTTATAGCCTTATTAAGGGAGCACTAGGGCTCCTAGATTATAACGATGTCGGCGCCGTCGCGGTATAAGAAGTTTAGGGTAATATCGTATATTAGGCTACCTTTACCGATATTAGCCTAGAAGATCTTAGTATCGCGGGGTATTATAGATCGGATAATATAATAGAGCCTAGTTCGATAATAGGGGCAGGTATAGTGCCCCCTTCAGAGATAGAGATATTATTAATAAGGGTGTCTATAAGTATTTCGTCGCGGAGAACTACTTATATAGTATCTTTTTAAGTGGGATATTACTAGGTTTATTATTTTTATATTTTTATAGTCTATAGGAGCGGTAAAGGCGGCGAGGAGGGGAGGGAAAGGGAGGCTTCGGTATTAGTACCGGTAGCGTTAGTAATAGTAGGAGGCTACGTTTAGGCAGCCTTAATTGCCTTACTACGTGGATAGCGAAAGCTTAGGAGCCTTTCTTACGGATTTCTGCTAGGTCCTCCCTAGGCAGGCGGGTCGTGCGGCTATTAACTGTCTTTGATTTAGCGGGATAGTTAAGGTGGTTACTGAAAAAGGGGCCTTTATAGTTAGCGCACTACGTATAGTAGCCCCCGTCGTGTTAGGGTCTACCGTAGTTATTATAATATTATTTTTAGTAGCACGGCCGGGTGCTATACCAGTTTAGGTAAATACTATACTATAGAGGAGTAGTCTTACGGTTAATAAGCCTGGCCTGGCTGCCGTCGAAGATACGGAAGGGCTTTACGGGGTGGGTAAAGGAGATAATCCAGGTCTAATTAGCCTAGAAGCAGTCAGGGTTTTCCCTAGCGGGAGCGTAACGGGTTAGACGGTAGCCCGTAGCGCTAAGGACTTCTTCCTCGATTACCTTAGTTATATCGATTAGTGCTCCGAAGTCGTAGATATATCGGGGGATATAGGAAACTAAATACGAGGACTAAACCTTAGATCCTTTAATAGCTACTATATTAAAGTATTTAGAAAGCTTAGTATTACTAGTAAGTATAGTCGATCTTACTCTAGTAGACTTCGGGATAAGTGCGAAACCGGTTAGAACCCTAACAGCCTTTATAATATCGCTGCTCTTAAGCGCGCAGAAGCTAATAACTCTCCTACGGATACTTACAGGGTCGATGTCTTAATGTTTATGTCCTGGAGGGAGGCGGATAAAGATTTGGGTGTACTAAGGGATAGTCGGTTTAGGTATCGAAGGTCCTTATTATATATCCTTCTAGTAGTCCTAAGGCGCTTAAGGAGCTGCCGGCGATTATTAAGGTATTCCTTTAATATTATCGGTTACTTTAATACTAGCGGTGGGCTACGGCCCCCGCTAGAGTCGGGGCGTGGAGGTATCTTAATCCGTTAAGATATTCTTTAGCGTTATGGCTAGGAGGGATAAGTAGTGGTTTATTACCTCCGGGTATTCTATAGCGAGGCTCTTAAGCGTCGCCTCGATATTATTAACTAGGATATTTCCGACGTGGTAGAAGCTTTCCTATGCCTTACGGATAGCAGAGATCTAGGCAGAGATCTCGTCTTCGGACTACGTGTCTACGGAAGCAGGCTACGTAGTGTTTTCGGTTTTAGCGGGTTATACGTCTTATACCGAGGGTATATCCTTAGCCGGTTATATATCCGGGGACTTTACTTATACCACGGGCGCGGTAGGTTATACGGTTTATATAGCTATTAGGCTAGTAGTGGAGCTAGTACTAATAGTTTATACGGCCGTAATTTTTCCTGCCTTACTAGCGGGCTTAGTGGGTCTTACTAAAATTAGATTATTTCCGGGGGGCTATCTCGTGCCCTTGATTAGCTCCCCCTTTTACCCCTTATTTATACGAGTAGGGAGGTGTAAGGTAGGTATTCGAGTTTTACGTGGCCCTGGCGGGGAGGGCGAGAGGGTGGATTAAGCGGCGGTTCTCTTTCCGGGCGATTTCGAGATACCCTTAAGAGGTGCGCGAGGTGCTTTCGAGGGCGTTCCCTCTATCGCGAGAGGGCTTAAGGTCGCTAGTATTGTAGTAGTAGGTGGGCGTTACCTATATAGCTATTACGATAGCGTTAGGGTCGAAGGAAGCTCGGCGCCCTGCGTGGAGGGCGCCTAGGAGTGGGCCGGAGCTATCCCGTGTGGGGGGTGTGCTTAGTGCTGTTAAGGTTTTTAGTGCGTGGTAGTATACTATACTAACACTCCTAAAAATGGGGAGGTATATAGGAAGGAGAGTTATTAGCTTAGTATAGTATCGGTATACCCGTTTTACTATAGTATAGCCGCTAGCCCTATAGCTAAAGTAAAGGTATTTATAGCACCTTAAGGGGCTAAGGTTAGGATTATATAGTTCGTAGATATAGCTACCCCCCCTTAAAGAGGAGGGTATTCCGGATAAGGCTCGCTGCCCTTTCCGGGGAAGCCGATTCGAGGAGGAGAAGTATAACCCTACTAGTACCGCGGCGGGGTACCGTTATCGTGCTCAGAGGATTTTAGCTTCGGGATTCGTCTTTTATAGGGATACTAGTAAGTCCTTTTCGGATAGGGTACTTAGGACCTCCCGGGAAATAGCCTTAGCTAGCACAGGGTAAGTTCGCACGGCTAGGGTAGCTCCTTTACTAAAGGCTTTCTTAACCTATTACTCCTTATAGGTAGTCTACTATTATACCTTTTCGGTAAAGGTAAGGTAGATATCTCCGCTAAGTAGCTTCTATATCGTTATAGTATTATATCGAATAATTATAGCATTTACAGCTTAGATAATTTCTTTTAGGGTCCTGGTTCTAAGGGGTTAGTCTTCGGGGAAGGTTCTTTAACGGATAATTAGTTCTTAATAATACCTAGCGGGGATTACTTTAAAGGGGGCGGGGTTACGCGGTAATACTATTACGGGAGCCCGGGCGGCGATATTAGCCTAAGTCTCCTTAGTACTACTAATACCTTTTCGGAGTTCCTTTTAAATAACTTAGTGGATAGAGGCGTATAGGTATACTAATAGCGTTATACTAGCAGTATTCCGGGTATATATCGTGATTAACTCCTTTACTAGCTATATAACCTACTTAATCGTGTTCCTATTAGCTAGTAAGGCCTGAATTTCTGCCTTTATCTTAGCTATTCTCGGTTCTAAGGGGCGTGGTAATCCCCTTTTCGGTCTTATATCGGTTCCGCGCTATATCCTACTTTAGATGGGGGGGGGGGAAACGCTTATATTATAAAAAGTAGGTCCGTTACGAATTCTGTATAGTCGAGGTTAGGATAACGCTATCCTATAATTCTTCCGGTTATACCGTAACGCCGGTATTATAATACCGCTATATAACGGCTTACTAAAAGTTATTTACGTATTAAGGCCGAAAATATAGTTTATTCGAACTAAGGAAGAAAAGGAGGAAAGGAAGAGTCTGCGCGGTGTGTAGGCGGCTAAGTATAGGTTAGATCGCACGGGCCTTACTAGGAGGTCTGTGCTCCTTAGTCCCGGCTATTACCGGGGACTATTCTGCGGGCTATAGCCCGTAATATACTCCCCCCCGCCGGAGGCGGCGAGGTCGTGGTCGTGTCGTGGTCGCGCGGTTATAACCTCGTATTACCCGGCCTTATAGCGTATAATCTAAAAATAGCCTCCTTTATTCGCTTCTATTAAAGGCGCTTTCGAAAGGAGGCCTTCCGTAGTAGCTAAGGTCCTTTTAAGGCTAAAATAGTATAAAGGAGCTTTTATATAGCGGTGCTATCGCGAGCTCCTCGTCGCCGTGCGTGCTCGTTATAAGCGACGTGTCTGCCGTGTATATAACCGGGGTCGTTCCTTCCACTCTAATAGCATAGGAAGGGTAATAAAGTAAACCTCCTATTATTCCTTATTTTTTACTATTTTCTCCCTCTTCTATAGCTTCCGGTTTTCTATTTTGTCTTTTAATTACTTTTTACCTTATAAGTAGTCCCGAGATACCTTATAGGTCCCTTAATAGTATAACTAATATCGCCGAGTAATACCTTATTACTTACGCTGCCT